ACGTGGCCAAAGCGTATTCTAGAGAAGATGGAGCGTATCCCAAGTGGTCTGTATACTATGACCATACGCCCTATAGAAAGCCACTATGTGGCTGGCCCTACCTCAGGGACTGCACAGGAAATCACACTTATGATTGTTTAGGACACCCTAGATTAACAGCGATACGCCATATCCTCAAATCATCACACGAGCATCCATTAACCCGAAGTTTAGGTTCGATTCAAAGAATTACATGTCAAACCTACTCCATGGAAAACTTATTATTAGGCATTCTTATGACAAGATTCATTCGAATCCTCATATTTTTCTACAAATGATTTAGGGGGACATTTATGGACTGATTCATCCTTCTTGCGGACCATTTAGATATTTTATGGTTTTGGTTAACGTTTCCATAGGTTGGTCACACGTATGCTTGTTGTCCACAAGGAACGCTGCATTCTCCAAACTGTTGGCTTATGTTATCAAGCTCAAGGCTCACCACCCTGATTATCCAATCAAATATATTTGATTGGATAATGCTGGAAAATTCACATCTAAAACTTTTGATGCATGTCGGTTAGGGTTGAAGTTGAACATCCAGTACCTTATGTTCACACCCAGAACGGCCTGCCAGAGGCATTTATTAAGTGCTTACAAATGATTGCTTGATCGTTAGTCATATGTACTAAGCTTCCGATCGCTGCTTGGGGCCATGTTGGTCTGCCTAAGGCATGTTGCAACCCAACCATTTTAAGCCCTTCAGTTGGTTACTAGATATGAACCCGACATATCGCATCTACGCGTTTTTGGTTGTGCGGTCTATGTGCCAATTTCACCGCCCTTACGTACAAAAATGAGGCCTCATCGAAGGATGGGAATCTATATTGGATATGATTCTCCTTCAATCATTCGTTACTTAGAACCTTTGACAGGCGATCTGTTTACCTTTCATTTTGCCGATTGTCATTTCTATGAAACAATCTTCCTGTCGTTAGGGGAGATAAGAACGACGATAATTATTGTGGACGACTCCTTCTTTGTCTCATTTAGATCCCAGCACCGCTCAGTTTGAAATTGAAGTGCAGCGCATATTAGATCTCCAGAGCTTAGCTTAAAGCATGCCAGATGTTTTCACAGATCTAGCGCAAGTGACAAGATCACACATTCCAGGTGTGAATGTCCTTGCAAAGATAAATGTACCAAATGTATGATAGACTTCCCTCCTCGAAGCCCGGGACGCCACCTTGGCCAATCCATATACATTAGCGACTAGCCAATCCTCTGTCTCTACACAAAAGCATGGCAGACCACTTAGTTCAAAGGATTCACAGCCCCGAAAAAGGAAACCCACGACACAGGCTTCTCCTGAGCCCACCGTGAATCTGACTGTCGCCTACTCATTTTATCCAACTCATGAGGAAATTCTAGATTACGAAAGTGTCCTTAAAGAGACGAATCTACCTCTTGAGAATCGAGAGATTTCGGACCATTATGCTAGCTTAGATGATGTTTGGTGTAGAAATGAGATGATCATTAACGATGCATTAGCATATATAGTAGCTACTGAGATCATGTTGAGTGATGACATTGAACCTTGTTCCGTTAATGAATGTCGATATAAAACTGATTGGTCAAATTAGAAACAAGCAATCCATGTCGAACTCGATTCGCTTGTGAAACATAAGGTGTTTGGACCTGTAGCTCTTACTTCTCCACATGTGAAGCCCGTTGGTTACAAGTGGGTTTTCGTTCGGAAACGTAATAAGGATAACGAAATTGCACATTACAAAGCTTGTCTTGTTGCGCAAGGCTTTTTACAACGCCTTGGGATTGACTATGACAAAACTTATTCACCTGTTATAGATGTAATTACTTTTTGCTACTTTATCAGTTTGGTAGTTTCCGAAAAATTAAGTATGCAACTGATGAACGTAGTTACTGCGTATCTCTATGGGGATCTTGATACAGAAATTTATATGAAAGTTCCCGAAGGACTTACATTGACTGGATCAAATATTTCCAAACCCCGAAACACACTCTCAATTCGGCTGAGGTTTTCACTCTACAATTTGAAGCAATCCGGAAGAATGTGGTATAACCTTTTGAGTGGGTATTTGACTAGTCAGGGATACGTGAACAACGAACTATGCCCTTACGTGTTTTAAGAAGTCACATTCCGGTTTTACAATTGTTGCAGTTTATGTCGACGACATGAACTTCATCAGAACTCGTGAGTAGCTCGAGAGAACTGCCGTGCACCTAAAGTCGGAATTTGAGATGAAAGATCTAGGAAAGACTCAATACTATCTCGGTCTTGAGAAAGAGCACCATTCAGATGGAATCTTAGTACATCAGTCGAACTATACCCAGAAAGTGTTGTGCCACTTTAACAAGGATAAAGTGAAGCCTTCAAGTACTTCTATGTTCGTTCGATCACTAGATGCAAAACGATATCCCTTTCGTTCGAAAGAGGATGATGAAGAGATTTTGGAGCCTAAAGTTCCTTATCTAAGTGCAATAGGCGCTTTATTGTACTTAGCTCGATGCACTAGACTCGACATCTCCTTCGCTATTAATCTTTTAGCAAGATACAGTAATGCACCGACATGCAGACATTGGACTAGTGCTAAATACATCTTCCATTACCTTAAGGGTATTATGGATCTGGGCTTGTTTTATCTTTACGAATCCTCGAGTGATGCCGCACCCCCTTATCTCGAGTCGATTCTCGCCTTGTTGGTTATGCCGACACAAGTTACTTATCTGACCTGCATAAGTCGCGTTCTCAAATGGGTTATGTCTTTACCATTGAAGGCACTGCAATCTCTTAGAGGTCAACTAAACAGACCTTATTTGCCATTTCGTCTAACCATGCTGAAATTCTCGCCTTACACGAAGCAACTCGGGAATGCTTCTGGTTGAGAGCAGTTGTGGGCTATATTCGAAGCTCCTGTGATCTTTACCTTGTCCTTGACATTCTGATGACGATTTATAAAGATAAAACAGCATGCATCGAATAGCTTAAGAAGGGTTACATCAAAGGAGATAACACTAAGCACATTGCGCCGAAGTTCTTCTTCTCACATCAACAACAAAAGCATTAGAAGATTGAAGTCACACAAATCCGTTCACAAGACAATTTGGTTGACCTCTTCACCAAATCACTACTGAATGCGACGTTTTAAAAGTTTGTTCAAGGAATATAGGTCTACATAAACTTTCTGAGTTGCAACATTGTTAGTTCTCTTTGGAATTATGTCAAACTCAGGGGGAGTATTCTGAAGTATACTTGCTTATTCTTAAAGTCATCTTTTTCCCTACGATTAGGAGCATTTTTCCCTTTGGGTTTTTGCTATCTAACGAGGTTTTGATAAGGAATCCACCTTGGGTTGATCATATCCCTGATGACATCCTGTAGATGTTTCATTTGCATTTTCTCGCGCATTTTTCCTTATACTATTGGTTTTGTTCCTACTTGGGTTTTACCATAGCCATTGGGTTTTTTGTGAGACTTAGTTCCATATGCAAGTTCCTACTTTACTTTGAGACTAGCGTGTTCCCAGAATCAGTGTCGATGAGTCGACTTCCTCAACTTTACATGATGTCGAATCTACTTGAATATTTATACACTCAAGGGGGAGTGCTATAAACTTTGTATTTAAGTGTGATTGTGTAAATCCTAGATTAGATTTGATTTTAGTTATTATTCCCTATTAGGACTTGTATTCCTTGAAGGAGAATGATTCTTCTCTCCCTTATTACTATAAATAAAGGCACTGCGTAGATAGGGAGTAACACATTGTCTACACAATCTTACAAACACATCTCTCTCTATACTGCCAGACCTCTTTCTTCCTGTCAGATAAAATAAGCTACAACAATATATGAGATTTAACTAAAACCACCTAACATTGGCGAATATGGGACAGATTATATTGATATCAATGGAGTAGGATTATAAGAGAATAATTTTATTTTTGAGTTTGTTCACCTAATGCTTACGTAAAATGACCAAACTAAATTAAATCTCATATAATCCAATACATATGGCAAACCATCTTTTACTCGTAAGAGCTTGTTGGAAGCAATCAATATAGTCAACATCAGTTGCGCATCTACTTGCATAGTAGTTGACCATATACAGTTTATCATATTTACGAGTTGCTAAATGCTACGACAAGTTCCTCACAAATTATACATCTTACAATCATTTTCGTTTGTCATACTGTTAATCAGAATCATTCTGATATAAATTATATTTTGCATGGCGGAATTTAATCGGCATTAATCAAACAACATATATGTTATATACAAGATGTTTAATGAAAATAGTCGTTAATTCCTTTGTTTGTTTGAAGTGCCATGAGGACCATGCAGGCTAGGGTAGGCTCCTTCTAAAATCCTCAACGTCCCTTAAAAATAGTAACAGAAGATTTTGATGGGGCACAAAATTTGGTTTTGGTGGATTTAGTTGATCCCAATAATTAGGCCTACTAATGAGGAGACTTTTGAGGGAGTGGGTTTGTTGTATGACTCTATGAACTACGAGAGGATCACCAACTTCATTTTCCTTCATTAGGGCTCATCACCTTTACATTCTTACTAATAAATCTTCTTCCACTTTACTCCACTAATCTAAAAACAAATTATAGGCGTCATAGGCCAATTTGTTAAGGCAGGATCAATTTAATTTAAGCTTTTTGGATTCCTCTAATTAAACAAAAGAAGAGGCGACAACTAAAAAATAATTCTCAAAAATGGGTACATTTATCATTCATCTCAAAACAAAATGATCTCAAACATTTTTATTTGATATTTTTGCTGAAGACGTAAACTTATATTTACGTCTTATTGAATAAATACTATCGCTTTTCAAAAAAAAAATATATATATATAAAATAAAAAGAAATAAAAATTGTGGCCTAAAGTACATAAATTCCCAATTTTTGTTTATTTTTCAAAAAATAGTATTAAAATACAAACACCAAAAAAAGGCACCTTTCTGAAGGTGTCAGCAAAAGCGGATGTATAAAAAGCACAGAATCGGAGGGAGCGAAAACATAACGGAAAAACGAAAAATAAAATTGGAAGGCTCCAAGCTTTGTGATTTTCATGATTAAGATCCCGAATCGGAGAATGGCCGAATTGGAGAGCGTCGGAGAGTATCGTATCGGACTCGACGAGTCGTATCGGTATCTCCCGTCGGTCTACTTAGCCTTCTTGACTATCTGGTTCGTCTCGGCCTGCTCCTGGACCTTCAACACCTACAAAAACCGCCATCTCCAGGTCCCTTTTTCCTCCATATCCATTCCCATTGTTTTTTAAATGTAATGTGAACTTTTTTTCTGGGTTATTTTATCTGGCAATGTTGGTAATTTGAATGTATAATTTGGGTTTTAGGAGAATATTTGAACGTGTTTTCTACTGTGCTCTGTTTGGTCTAAAAAATAAATAAACAATCACATTTCAAAATTTATTTCACGTTGTTTGTGAAAGACGTTTAATTTATCTCAATGGGTGAGTTTCCAGGCAACAAAACAATGGGTATTTCTATTTTTCTATTGGGCAATCGGTTTCAGTGTTTCTCTTTCTTCTGTTTGGTTGCTGACAAATTTTTGTGTATGATCATGAAGAGAAGCAGGTACATATATATGTGTATATCTATACTTATTTATTCGTTTGTTTGCATTTGTTATAACTGTTGTGTTTCCTTTGTTGTTCAACTAGAGCAGACGAATAATTTGCAATGGACGCTCGCATCTGTTCCGTTGATTAAATCCTTGCAACTCACATTGTCTTTCCTCTTTTGGTAAGTTCTTTTATCTTTAGGAAATGGAATGTAGATGCTGTTCATTGGAAGGGGATTCAAACAATCAATCGAAGAATTCCGCAACTCTTCATAATCTCAGTACCTAAAATTATGTTACTTATTTGTCGACGCTTAAATTTCTGAGGCCAATTTATTAGAGAGCTCTATAGGAAATTGTATGTCTCATATGCTTTTGTTACGTGTATTGGTGAGGAAGTCGAGCACATTTGGTCTTCTTTGTCATGAATATTCTACCGCTGTTTCCTCGATCAAACATACTAATTTTGAAGAATCACATTTTAGGTATTCATGTTTTCATCTTCAAATATGCTCCCTGTGGATGTCATTTGGGGTGTATGTTACCGGAGTGATATTTCAGACAGCTTCTTTTGTGTCTTTTTTACTCATCTCTCATGGTTACTGCATCATGTGTGAGCGTCTTTCAGTGACTGAGCGGCGTACTACTGCTTCCCTTGGCTGTTTCATTTACTTGACTCTTGTCGGATACAGGGCTTCTGTACCTTATTTCTCTGTAAGTTTCTTTCTTTGACTAGCTAAAAAGCATTACAGTGGTAAATAGGCAGGAACTGTTACCTTTCTTTTAAAAAGTTTTTAGTTACTTATCCCGTGCGTACTAATTTTCAGTTACTGCCTTGATTCAGGTCTTGCTGCTGCTTAACTATTTCATCTCATTCTATGTGATATTTCACCATATATCGCAAAATCTTTTAGTATTGCGCCACCAGTTAAGCTTCATAGATGACGAGGATGTTCGTGCAATGCATGATGCAGTCTATACGAAGTACATCATGTTCAAGTATGTGTTTCACATTTTTACGTTCATTCTCCCATTTTATAACCTTGTTCTAACATACGGTGACCTTAAAAGAGATGACATCACATTTTTGAACCTCATATGCTGTATATTCTGATGTCGATGCAGAAAGTTTCAAGGTGCAATGCAGATAGTAGCCATGGCAGAGACTGTGGTATGGTATATCCTGACTTTATTGATTATAATTGCATATACAAACAACAATATATAGACAGTAGTTGAGAGAACTAACATTCTGGTTCTCAGATATACATTAACATGGACGACTCATCAGAAAATTACTGGATTCGCTTGTTAGTTCGAGAATGGGCACAGTTCTGCATCTTTGTTTACATCGGGTATGTTTACCTTCTTGGTTCTGTGAATGTTCCTTTCACGGGAACAGACATGGTTATGGATTTTTTTTGGATTCATTAAAATAGCTAAGTTCATCATACAAGAAGACCTGTGCTTTTACTTCGTTCGCCTTCCCCCTGGTTGTTGTTGAAACTCCACGACTGTATCTTGCAGGTGGACTTTCAGGTCAAGGGACTTGGCACCGCGATTTTCTATTATGCCGGCACTGAAATCTAAAGGAGAACTAGTGGTGCCTCCCATTTATAGCATCGTAAGTTATTTTCCGTAATTGCACACTGCGTAAAATTAATGTTGAAGAATTTGTGTCAACATATGCATACTGTCCCTCTAAAAAACGTTACGGTTTGCTCCGACACCCATGGTTCAGAAATTAGTATCCAATGAGGAAGGAAACAAGAAACTAACAAGTAGAAGTAGAATTTCCATATTTACTTTCCCCTCTTTTCTGACATGCCCTACTCGTGCCAATGCAGGAAATGGATGCAGAAACTTTCAGAGATTTCACTAAGCATGAATGGCACATCGGACTGGTGAGCAATAGGAGCACAAACTAATTTTACACAACAGCCGATGTCTGTTAATTCTTCGTATAAGGGCCTTAGTTTTCTGGAAACTTGCTCGTCCCCGATCAGTCTTGTTCGAAATCATACTTTACGCATTACAAATGTGTTCATTGATTAAATCATCTAACTAAAAATGTTTGAACTATTGCAGCCAACTTCACCTTCTTGTGCCGAAAGCACTAAGGATTCCGTCTTGGTAATAATTCAGCATCCTCACGCACATAGAACGACTGCAGCCGGAGAATCCTCTCAAAGCCAAGACCAGAAGCCAGTGTAGCACTTCACCGTTTCGACTACAGATGCCATAACTGCTTCCTTGACATGCAAGTAACTGATAGAGCAGTTCAAACTGTTCAAATATCAGCTCGTTGTCGCTTTAGCTGTGTTTGTTGGTGATTTGAGGCAACAGCTATTTTGTGTAGAAAAGTCTGATTGAAAGGGGGGCAGCAGCCAACGTATACTTGTAAATAAATACAACCAACGAATCAAAAATTGTATAAATAGGCCAAAAATTAGAAAACAAATTGTATCTTGTTTACTCTTTCATTCATTTCTATTGCCTTGCTATTTGTATGCTTTCCCTCCTTGTGAGGAGGATTAGATTTTGGCAATTTTGAGACGTGCCAAGTCACTACTCATCCTGATTAACGTGGGGTTGGATGTGACACAAACCCGGTATATATCATGTCGTGGTTGGAGGAGATTTTTAAAATGTCATTGTTTATATATCATGTGATAAGAGAGATAGACACATGATTGTATACAACTGGTGATATGACATATTTACTATCATTATTTTTTTATTTTACAATTTTTTACATTTTAGTTGCTTATGTGGATCCTTTATGTTGCAAATTTTATATTTTTGCTAATCTTTATTTATGTTGATTTTCCTTCTGTTTTTGTTTATTGGTCGAATTATGTTGCTATTTCATTCCAAACGACTTGTCGTTTATTATTTTAAACGACAACTCGCAGTTCTCTTTCTCCATCTTCAAGACTTCAACCCTCTGCGGCTCTGTAAATCTCTAGACGCTAGCACGACCAAAGAGAGAGTGGTTGATTGGGTTCGTATGAGAAATGGTTCAAAATCCATCTCTGTTTGCGTAGCATCCCTTTTCGACTCTACCACCAAGATTGGATTTTTCACCCTCCAGCTTTCACAATGAGTGCAGGTTCTCTCTCTCTCTCTCTCTCTCTCTCTCTCTCTCTCTCTCTCTCTCTAAAATTGATATTTACTGGCTGTGATTAGATTATTGAAAGATAATGGAAAACCCAGTTGGAAGATTTGATTTTGATTATTATGTTTTGGCTGGAAGTGATAATTAATAGGAATTTGTTGAAACTTGTATGAATGCAGAAAAAAAAAAGAGCGTCTCTTTAATGATTTAGTTGGACATTGTTTGTGTTTAACTGATTGCCCTTTTGGGAAATGAACACATTAATGCGATATCATGTTTGGTTATTTGACTTCAAGGATGTCGGTGAAAGTAGCTCTTCTTAGGCCAAAGTTGTGGCACATTTTAGATGTTCTAACCGATGGCTTTTCGAGTTTTCGTACTATGAAGTTGTGAAATTTGAGTATGATGGGTTTGGATTGATACTTTATGATTGTATTTTAACGTAAAAGTAGCTTCTTTTTGCCTGAAACCGAAAAAAATATGTTGCCCAACTCAAATGTTGTTAGTTCTTTGGAATTTTAGTTGAGTATAACTAAAAACTTATAGGACCCGCAAGAGCTTGAGGTAAAGATTCTAAGGTGATGGAGTGACAATAAATGAAATGGTGGATGAGGAGTCGAGTATAAACCTAAAACCTCACATTATTGCTACTAAATATTGTTTATGATTTGATAGTTGTGGTGCTTTGTTGAACCCACGATCACGAACCATATTGACCCTGTGAATAAGATCGTAGTATCATACTTAATGTGCTTGTGCTGATGTGCCCCTGCGATGTTAGAATTGGCCTTTCGCCTGCATGACGTTCAGTGTTATTTGTATATAAAGAGAGATGAAAATCTTGGTCAGCCCTAACCACGAATAGATACCATCATCCTTGCAGTAATATATATGTATCTCTATCTCATTTTTGTTTATAAGCGTTATTATTTCTTGTAGGTGGTGCTTTTGGTGGTAATAGAGGGTTGAGCCCGGTTCCTCCGGAGAAAGGTGTCTTCCCTTTGGATCATATGCATTTGTGTGACCTGGTAACGTCACTTTATTCCATTAATGAACATTATTTTTCAAATTTGTTCTCTGTAGAATCAAGTGTGTCAAAAGTTGGAAATGATGGAGGGGGTTCAGTATGGTGGCTAAATGTGAAACTTTTTTTATTTCGTTTCTTTGTGGTGCTGGAAGTTCTTAGTTCCTTGGCTTTATTACAGGAGAAAAAAGAATACCTCAGTTGCCTCAAAACTTCAGGCCACCAATCTGAAAAATGTAGGCTCTTCTCTAAAAAGTACCTGGAATGCCGAATGGAAAAGTGAGTATTTTTGGTTTGTATAAAACGTGCTGCTTTGATCTGGAATTTGTTAAGAATGCGACTTTCTTCTGCATATGATTCAAAACCAAAACAATTAACAACTGCATGCCTCTGAAAAGCTTGTAGTATAGCGATGTATGTCTAGCATAAAGTACTAATTTCCATCCTCGTCTTTCCCTCACTTCTGGCCGTAGGTTTGTGCTGTTATAGGTTTGTTCGTGAATGTAAAATGAAATCATTTGTATTTGGAGGAACCATAAATTCAATTTGGCAGATTTAGCTGTCCTATTTCAAGGATGAAATCGTTTTGGGTGTTTAAATATGATGATGGTCTTGAATTAAAATCCGAGGAGAAGAATTTAGTGGTAATTGAAAATTGGCCGAAATATTATGAAATATGTCAATTATCCTTTTCTCTCATTTGTGTCATAGCCATTTGAACCCTCATTCCTTATAATTTTCGTTCTTTTGTTTTGACGCACAGATTTGTTATGAAATATTGATTACAGTGACCTTATGTACACATCTTGCAGGAACTTGATGGCAAAACAAGACATGTCAGAACTTGGATTTGTTAAGGAAGGTAACTCGGACGCTTCTGGAGAGAAGGTTTCCGAGCGGATTGCTAATTAGATCGGATGATAACTTTTGAGACTATAGTAGTTGGGAGAGTTTTACTGATAGGGCTAATACGATCGACACTGAATTTTGTTCGTGGAAGAGCTACTTGTAAAGGATCGAAAAACATTAGTGTTTTGGTTTCTTCAAAAGATGTTAATGATTGTTTACCCTAGCCTTGCAGTCGGGTTTCCCAAAAAAAATGGTGAAGGGGAAAGACTTCTGTGCGACGAGCATATCATTTCAAGTCAATCATGCAGTGTTCATAGATTCTGCTGGTACGACAACTTAATTACGTAAAAATACATTCATGCAATAAGTAAGTACGTAATTAATTTGAAACACCGTCAATAGTAATTTGACTCCGGTGTCATTGTTTTCACATTAGGATTGAATTTTTTCTTTTTTCAACAAATGATATTACCTACCCTAGTGGTGGGAGAGTGTACTAAATCTTACAAAGATCTAACAGTAAAGTGGTTCAAATTTGTTTTTGGCAAAAGTCGAACCTAAAACCCTTTACTTACAACAGTTCAAAACTAGTTGGCTCGATAGACTTTGTTCTTGAGGAACAAGAGCATTGCAGAAACAAGAGTCCAAAACCTGCATAAAAACAAAACGGCTGGCGGGAGATAAACACTATGACACAGAAAACATAAAATATTTCTTGGGTGTTTCTGCTCTCTCTCTCTCTCTCTCTATGCCTCGATGGCCACGCTACAGAAAGCCTCTGTTTTTATGACATACATGGATCCATTTTGCTTCCCTTTTCTCTGTTTCGGATTTCCATGGCTCTCCGTTTGTCTCCGCTCGAACCTCACCTGTTTTACCATTCGTAAGCTCTCTCTCTCTCTCTCTCTCTCTCAGATGCACACTATATTTTTTAGACATTCTTAATAATCCATGATTTATTTTAGTGGATTTATTGCTTTTAAAATTCTGTTATCTGGGTGTAATTAGAAATTTGATTATCTGGGTTATTGATGGCTCGGGCTCATAGTTTAGATTAATTGGATGTAGCTCTCAGCTTCTGCTAGTTGAATTCTTATCCAGATTCTGTATCCAAAATGGGGGTTTCAAGTTCTCTTCTTTACATACTTCAAATTGCTTTGAAATTATAAAAACAATAGTGCTTGTTTAGAATTGGTCCAAATTCTGTGAAGTTGATAGCTTTGGTTCAATTTCACTTCTTTTCGTATATAGGCGAAACACACACTAGAGAAGAAGAAGACTCAAACGATGTCATAAATTATCTAGTAGCAGCATTGGGATCTTAACTGTCATGGAATAAGAATTGGAATCATTTCGATTCTTGACTTCCATGCGTTTACTAAAACATGGGAATTGGAATCATTCCAATTTTGTAACTTTGCCGATATTCACTAAGATATTTGGAATCCTCAGGTTCTCTTAAATCCGTTATCCAATAGCGGAAAATCAAGAATCAGAACAACTTAGGAGAGGGGAGAGACGAGGGACGGGGGCGGGGGGTGGTAGTGGGGATAGTTAATACCATTTGCATTCCTTCAATCATAAATTCTGATAGCAACTTCACTTCTTGGGACAGAAGAAGATCTGTAAGATCAGAAAATCGACAAAGGGAGATTGTGAATGTGCATAAGCCTTCAAGGTGCAGCACAAATGAACAAGGAATCTATGGCTTTTCGACGAAAAATCACTTGCTCGATTTATTGGTTAGGTGTTACAATTCGTCGAGGTGGTCTTCATCTTGGACCTCATCATCGACAGCGTGTACAGCTTATTCTGGTCAAATAACTTGTGTGAATGGTGCCTTAGTGGCTAGAACTCGTAATCATGAAAACGAATTTAATCGGGTCAATTGCCTTGAATGGGTGTTGCATGAATCGGCTAGGAGCTTCTCTGTTGCAGTTGAGTCACTTGAATTGCCAGGAAGTGGTCCAAAGCTTGCAATGGCATGGTCTGGGAACGATGTCCATCAATGGCATAAACGGATTTCTTATCAGGTATAACATATGTTCTGCTTTCCTCAAAGCATGTTACAAACATTTTCTAACTTTAGAACAAATTGTTTTGGCTGTCGAATTGTGTTAACATCATTGGTGCCCATAGTTGAAGGTGCTTTTGCATTTTTCAGCATCTCTATTATTTATTTTGGTCACTGAATTGAGCAAGATGTAAACTTTCTCAAGTTAGATGAAATCCTTGTTACGTTACTAGTTGGTACAAATGAAGTTTATAATTGACTACCATGGCTGGCCGTGCAGGTTGCAGTTTACGCTTTGTTGAAAACAGCAATTGAAGTAGAAATTTTGCTTTCCAGTGAACGTCACAGCAGTGACTCTTCTCCAGTTAGTGACATGTAAGTTTTCTTTCTGTTAAAGCCTTAATATTTTGAATTAACGTCGGTTGTTTTAATTATAGTGCCATAACTGAAAAATGTTTGACTTGGTAATCATTTTCTAAAGAAAGAGTGTCAGACTGAATGTCTAAACTTTGCTTAGTGCATCTCTTCTTAGCTAAAGTATTACTATGCCTTTTCCATCTTGGATGCAAATATTTGAATTTCTAAACTTTGCTTAATTCAGTATTTTATCTTTTTCAGCTTGACCCCAAAGATTGATTTGATTGGCGAATACATTGAGAGTCAAATGAACATGAGGCACTCAGAATTAGTAGAATGGTTTATAGTGGTGGAACTGCCGCGTATGGCAGGATTTTTCATTCCCTTGTTGAGGAAGTGGTCTATGGAATATGCAGGAAGGTTTGCTCAAATAACTTTGTCCTCCTAACCTAATATATGAAGCATCTTGTGTTATCATTTGACTCAAAAATCAGTACATATATGTTTCAATATATGACAGATTCTTGTGCACTAGTTTATGCATATGCAGTGACATTAACCAGTTAATCTGAAATTAAGCATGTAGCCCTAAACAAAGAAATCTACAGTGGTGTTGCAGGGATGGTTGTGGCTATAAGCTGCTGTGCTGCAGTGGCTAAATTGGGTAACGGTCGTGTTAAGTGCCCTTATTTTTCATTTTCAATTGAAGATGTAATGGTAGAGCTCATGGATCACTCACACAGTCTTGTGTCAGTGGAAAGACTACATAACTTAGCTACCGAGGCAGGATTTGAAGTGGATTTCCTGTCCCATTTTGGTAGAAAGGTTCTGCTGAGCAACAAAAGTGAAGAGGTAGAATTTTGGATTGGGTTGGCTCATAAAAAACTCTCAACGGCATTCAGCAAAGAAAGTGTGATCCCAGGCAAGCAGAATTTTCATGACAAGGTCAATTTTATAATTCATGATATTCTTTCTCAGAGTCCGGGGTCTCAGATGCATTACTCTATTGCTAATTCGGCCTTTTTTTTATATTTCTATTTTATTTTATATTACTTGCCTGGAACTTTTAATTATTGCTTGTTTTTATAAAGTTTTGACAGGTTCAGGCAGATATTTTGGCTACCTTAGGAGTTTTTGCATATCTTGGGAGAAGGACTAGATTATTCTTGTCAAGAATGGGCATAAAGGATCTTGATGAGCTAGTTAAGGACTTCCTCAGGTAAACAACTTCACAGTAATGATTTAATCCAAAAGTACTGAGGACATAAGAGGTTAAATTGTTTGTCTGCAGCTACTTGGAGTGTGGTAGCCTTTTCATTCACCCAGAGTTTTCTTCCGTAGCAGTTTATCAACACTTCATGGAGGTCCGTTCCCAACTTTCTTTCATTGCAAGTGAAAAGCGCAAATCTTGCTAATCGAGAAGTTTAAGTTTACAGGTGGTGACTGATGAAATTGGATGGCTTGATTTGTACGCTGCATGTCCTCCAAAAAGAAGTCAAGAGAGACAAAAAAGTAAACTGCATGCCATCCAGGCAGAGAAAGAGATTGCTCTATCTGCTGTGTTTACCGTATGCTATGATGTTTTCTCGGGATTTGCTCACTTCAGTCGTTCAACTCAACAGTCCTTAGACACTCATTTGCTAGACTTCTTGCTCCACAGGTAAAACATTCCCATCTTTTGTCGTTGAGGATTGCTTCCGTAAGTTTTCTATTTGCTAAAGTGGCCAATAAGGTTTTCAAAAACGTTAATTTTTCAGCCAGAGCTTGCTAACTGTTTGTTTGGAAGACTACTGGGCTGCTTATGATAAATCAAGGTATTATCTCTCTGCTGGGTTGTTACGTTTTATTTTCCAGCTGCTGAGAGGAAGGAGATAAATGTGCTTGTTTTTCGTTCTCATTTTTCCTTTCTTCAAGCAGTGAGTTACTAAAGGTCACAGAACCTGGTGCTCGTCGAGCATCATTTGTAGGATCTATAGTTGCATCCAAGTTATCGGTAACAATGGAGGCACAACAAGAGCCAAGTACCTTAACAACATCAGAAGATTGTCAAAATTATGAGCCTGAACGCAGGCTTAACCTCAGAAAGGTATTTACTTTCGCAAAACAACTACTACTGTAATCTTACTAAAATAATCAAATGAAATAAATAAATTAAGAATAAAAGAGCTTCATTTATAATGATAATTTTACCAGAGGCTATTAATCTCGGAGAAATATAAGTTAATTGAGCAAAAATGTTGCATGGTCTCTAGACTCTCTACTTGGTTTGAACCGTTGCATATAGTCTAACTGTTTATTACATTGTTGTGACCGTTTGTTTCTTTAAGTGGAAGGATTCCCCCTCACCCGGGGCGGAATCTATAAGCTCCATGGAGGAGGGTAGTGCCAAGAGATCAAAATATCATCAGCGAAGTTTAGTTAAGATGTATAGCAACAAGCTGGTATCTGCAAGCTCCGTAAGTCTAATAATCCCCTGCTTCTTAGAGATGGATGTATATTCTATGTCTTGCTGAATACATGTTTAACTCGATGCTAATACCGAACATATTATTATTTTTATTTGTTGTAAGGATATATGGATGGGCACTCAGTTGCTTTTCATAGACATCACGATTTCCGCGGAGCTACTCCTCAAACAATTGCGTGGCCACAAGGTTACAAGGAGGGAAAGAAATAAGTTAAAAAGAACGCTAAATGACATAACTTCACTTGTACCAGTAACAATTCTCATGTTACTTCCCGTAAGCAATAATTTGACCGTCTTTTCTTTCCTAAGATTGCCTAGTATTTTCATTTACTTGCATGATATAGATTTACCAAAAGAAAAAAACATCGATGGAATAGCTACTACTTAAAACTATTGGTTGCATTCACCGCAGTTGCATTTCGAGCTAGCTCATGCTGTTCTCTGTGATGTGTTCATATGCTTGCGACTGTACTCTATTTACGTTTGTAGACGAGAATCAGATTTTATCCCAGGCGATTAGTAAGCGAGTTATACAGAAGTTAACTGTTTTCTTCCTTTTCTGTGACAAGGTATCTGCCGTAGGTCATGCTGCCATGCTAGCAGCAATCAACAAGTACATGCCGGGCCTGGTAACTTAAACTTACCTCTGCAGTTAATGTATCTTTCTTTTAAAGAAAAGTTTATTTTGTAACTTATTATCGTAGTTTTTATGTGTCTCGATTTGGCTAAATCATTCGTTGATTTACGGCACGTAGATCCCGTCGTCATATTCTTCGGAGCGGCTGGATGTTGTGAAACAACTAAAGAGAAGCAAGAAGATGGAAGTAATTAGGAGATGGAACAACCTTGAAGATCCATCCTCTACAATAACCTAAGTTATTGCTTGTGTTGCTCTGCTCACTTCAACCTGAGTCGGAATAAACTGTTCTATAATATGAAACTAGTGTTTGTAAATAGTTAAAAACGAATAAATATCACGAATTAATGTGATGTGACGTGACGTATAATCGCATGCCTCAATATGGTATGCAAACATAAATAACTTTTGAAATGCATTACGATCTTTCAAACATAACTAACCCATGACAACAATTTTGCTTAGCCGCTCAGGCATGTGTGTTAGAGAGCAAAGGCACCAAGGAGTTGAGGGAAAAGGGTGGGAGGAGATTTTCGTTCATAGAATTGGGAAGGGTTTGGGGTTGTTGCCGTAGGTATCTTTAGGGTCAATTTCGGTAGGGTAGTGAAAGACACGAATTGACACGAAACGGAGAGAAAACTCATCCTTTACGCGTTTCTACTCTGATACGAGGAACTCGATCATCGTCGTGACAAGAACAAGCATATATGTGAGTTGTAAAAACTCGAATTGACAATCGTTCGCGTGGGAGTGTAACTGTTAGATCGATAAAAGATAAACAGTCGAATGTTTTATTATTGGTTTACAATGACCAAATCAAATATGCATGTAGCACAATTTATTTTCTGAGAGAAAAATAAATAAACAGAAAAAAAAAAAAAAAAAAAAAAAAAAAAAACCAAAAAAACAGGAGAGAAAAAAGAAGGGGGGCTAAAGAGGCACTCTACAAATTCATTACAAGAGGAAGGACTGGGAAAATCTTCGCCTGCATTACATTACATACTTGTAAAACTAGCAAAGCTAACTACACAACATTCATTCTCTTCAATCTCCAATACCGAAAACGAGCACAAATATGTTCTCTACTCTTTTCATCCCGGTTCCGAGATGATTTGGTTTTTATCCCTTTGAATTGATTTTATCATGGAAACGTCTCAGCAATATATGCAAATTTCATTCTTTTCACAACAAAATGTTAGCTTTGTTGTTCTAAGAGATGGACCTGCTTTGTAATTGCTATCGGAGTGCTGCAGTGGTCCTTGGTCTTGAAACACAAGATGACAGCCTTAAACTACCCTCTTTGGATCACGGGCTGCAGCAATATGGTCCTGCAAAACAATCCGTAAGATAAAGGATTCAACAACTTAATACTAGCAAAAAAAACAAGACAGATAAATTTTTCTTGTTTCTCTTTCTGGATATCTGATCCATAGAGGTTTAGGTGTCATCAGCCTTCAATACATCATCCATATGTTCTATACAGGTTCAAAGTTGATATAACCATGCAAAATCGGAATGAAGGAAACATTAATCAATGAAACTGCGTAAGACATCAGCTTTCGGAAATCAAACTTACCGAGATAAAATCAAATGCTTTGGTATCCTCTTTCTTTGAACTGTTCACCACCGAACCCGGAGCTGGATTTGGTTGATTTGCATGGAAAATATCCGGAAGTGCAGAAGCATATCCTCCATTTGTTCCAGCAACATTACTTAAATTCATATTTTGCGCATTGAGGTTTCCAAAGTGTTGAAGGCCAGACATTGTCGCTAGGAATTGCTGCTGAGCAAGAAGATTTCCCATGGCACCATAATTTATTGGCTGAGAAGGAAAGGCTGGATTGAACATAACTCCAGGAGGTATATTGTAAGGCATACCACCAGGAGGTAACACTGCATTTCCATTCGCCAGAGCTGTTTGAGAATTAAGAATGCCACTCCAATCATTGCTGGAGGCCAGACGGCTGGGATGACTAGTTGAATCCGACAAAAGTTCGGATAGTTGTCCAGGAGGGGTTCCTTTCTGCTCCATCTTTGGGACATTTTTATCAATGGATAAACCACCCATTAAATTGCTTAAATCATTTTCATGATCTTGCTCCTGCAGAAGTTCAGAATTGGGCCCGAATATATCAAACATTTCAGTTCCACTTTTCTCTTCTGCCACGAAATTCTCATGAGGATCTAGTTTATTATCAATGGTAAGCCCAGAGAAGAGATCATCTGCTGGTTCTTTACTGTCATTAGTGTGAAACGAGACATCTGCAAAAGGGTCATCATCATTTTTCAGTTCACTGGTGCTTCCGGCAGTCCCTGGGCCATCTCCAAATAAATCATCAATTAGTTGGGGTGCTGGTGCTGTTAAGTTTGTGATGACTTGATCACTTGGGTTGTCAGTTGCAGCATTGGTCACGTGGTAATCATAATCATCTAAATCAACAGTGTCTATAAGGTCAGGCATCTGAACAAAAGTAGCAGTCTGAGACTTCACAGTCTGTTCTGAATTACTTGTCACACTGCCTGCCTGTTCTCCACCCAAGAGGCTTAAAACCTGCTCATTACGAGAACAGTGTCTATTCAGCTGCATGACCTACTGTATCTTTTCAAGGAAAAAAGTGTGTGCGCACACAGTTTGAATGCATATTTCTTGATGAATTTGTGCTTGATGACATGAAAATGTAATTTCTTAGAGAGGTTACATTTTCCTAACATTATAAAGCATGATTTCATCAAGATATATACATTCAGATAATGTAATAAGAAAGAATAAGAAGAATCAAATCTAGAAAAAGTCACGATGGGCAAGTACAGATTCTTTTCCACATTCCTTTAATGACAATCGCGTAACAATGTATTACTTTTGTTAGTCCTCTTTTAATTCTTCGTTGAATATGAAATAGCCAAGAACTATGACCAAAAAAAAAAAAAAAATCCTTTGATCCTACTATGGCAAAGAATGTGATGCTCCCAAGTTCCTTTTACATTTAAAATCAATTCTAGACTTGAGCAGCAATGACTGCCTGGAAATGATGTGGAAGACTTGGAAGTGTTGATTAAGCAAACAGAATCAATCACTACTTGTTCATCACCAATATACGTATTTTAAGAAACAAATAAATGGATGAATCTCACATATATTCTTAAGTATGAGGAAATAAATGAATACCTTGTTAGCCTTTTCCCTCAAAGAAGCTTGGGGAGAGTCAGAACATCTCACTACAAGATCTCTGTTGTCAATAAAATATGATTCTATGATTGCAAAATGCTCATCATCCTTTCTCCTCAAAATTGACTCAAGAACACAAATAGCTTTCATGCGTACCTGACACACAAATAATCGCATAAAAGAAAGTTACACAAAGAAATAGATCTATAAATACAACAAAAATTCCACCCAATTTTTTTCTTAACCAATACTGATTGAACAATTAATCTTATTACAATGAAAATACAATAAAAATAGACAATTCGTTCATCTTTTGATAAAATTCTTATAATCAAGAATAATATAATTCTTACGAATGTTCAAGTGTTCAATTATTTGGCAATTTTGCATATAAGTATGTGGAAGAATTTTCGCTAACACATTAGTATGAGCAACTTGCCTGCCACAATGGAGATTGTAGTTTTACATCTAGGGCATGACTCAAAGCTACAGCATCCAACTTCTTTGCCTCCGTAAGGAAAATCTGAATAGCATCTCGAGTGGGTTGTAAACGTACACCACCTGACGTCACAATGGTCTCCAACAATATCTCCTCGCAAGTTTTACTCTCTCTGTAATTTGAACTGGAATCTCCATTGGTTATTGCAGTCTTGGTTACCCTTGAATCCTCATTCCATGGTCCACTAGTCACATTCTTTGACAACCCAAAACTACTTTGAGCCTCATTGCGATATTGAGCAGGTTCATATCTATCAGCCTGCTCGCTTTCAATGGTCAATGATCTATGAAGATTAGGACTCTTGTAGTTTCCATTGTCATTCTTTTTAAATGAGTGACTCTGGGTGAAATTACTAAGTCCCTGCTTGATAGATGCACTTCCAAGACCAACAACCTCACTAATGAAAGACTTTTTTTCATCCGATGACATCTCAAAGTTTGTATTCCCAAAACCTTGTATTCTTCTGTTAAGATCATCTGCAGGTGCTGCATTACTTTCCTCTTGAAAGATAGCAGAAATAGCCTCATGAGCAGTATCCCGCACAGCCTTATTAAGTGCATCTCCTTTCAAAGGATCTGGGTGTCCCTTATAGTGAAATAACTGGCGCACTGCAACTGAATTTCTTTGCATTTCCCTCCTGAACTCCAAACCAGACTTTCCCACGGCATACTTTATTAATCTCAGAGCCTGCAGAACATTTGGGCACAATAATCACAATTCTAAGTAAATTCTCGAAAAAATATCCTGACATTCGTCAAGTCTCACTTCTATATGCCTCTGTTATAGAAATCAAACCACTGCAATCTACATAGAATTAGTGCCAAGCCTCTCTCTCATAAAGAAAACTTATAAACACACTATTACACTTCTCCACTTCGATCACACCATTGATGAATGGAAGCCATTACTACTATCAAAGTTATCGAATCAAAAGTCACCATCTTAATCCTCAATTCTCAGTGTGTGTTGATAACAAACTATTAGCATGCACCAAAGAATATACATTCAGGTTATACCGAACACCCGATACATTTTTTTACTATAGAATAAAATCAAATTAACCAATTAATCAACTTCTTACAAGCATTTTAACAGATACAAAAAAAAAAAAAAAAAAAAAAAAAAAAAACCATAATTTCGCAACAAAATTTTACTATATAAGAAGAATTATTTGTATACCTTCTGCTTAACAATTGGACTTTTATGGTCCAAACGCTTCAATACAAACTCAGAAACCTCCTTGACAATACTGACATGCGATGATCGCAAAAGCTGGCAAATCTCTTCCAATTTGTAAACAGGTGCGACCTTGTCTTCGTTGGAAGTCGCCCCATCGATCATCAGGGACCTCCAGTACGACTCCACAGCTCTTCGACTCGAATCCATGATTCCTAATTGAGCTCGAAAAGATCCGATCCAATCGAATCCCGATCAAATCCGAGTAAGGTGCGTCCTTGGATCGACGTTACACCCGAATTGGATCGCAGCCCCGGAGAAAACAGAAATTTGGGGTCAGATATGCATGAATTGGATTGGATTGAATCGGTAGACTGATGGATTGTTTAGATTGGCGTTGAGAAAACGAAGAATTGGATTTGATTTGGAACAGAATTAGGGTTTTAGAGAGAGATGTTGGAAGGTGATGTGGAAAATGGAGGAGGAAGGAGAAGAAGAAAACAGCTAATTTTAGGAATGTGGCGAGGAGTTACGAGGGGGAGACCGACTCGCCTCCACCTGTCCGCTTCTAACGTTGCGCAAATTTGATGCGCGCTATCGCTAATTGCTCCTAAAATTGGCACGCTCATTGGATGGGCAAACGGGCCTGGACTCGGAGTTGGGGCGGGTCCAAGAGGTCCGAGGCGGATTAGAGATGGGTCCATACATTTTATATACAAAACGGGCGGGGCGGGGGGGGCGAGGCGGGTGGGTTCAAATATTGAGGGCATGGGCCCTCAGCTTGGATCGTATCAACAGTTCAACTTTTTATTGATAAATCTCAACTGTCCACACTCATATTTTCCACACATCACATCACAAATCACAATTCACACTCTCTCAGTTTCTCTCTCTCTCTCTCTCTCTCTCCATAATTCACACACCGTCCACCGTTCATTGTTGATTCCTTCCCTCATCGCCTCTCAACTCGACTAGAATCTGGATTTGCTTCTCTGCCTGGGTGGGAATTGCTTCTCTATGGGATTTTGTAGATGTGAAACTCTTTCTGGATTTTATGCAAAATACTTTCTATGAGACATCCCCACAATTGATTCTTCCAAAGGAATGCTTTCTGGGTTTTATGTCAATTGTTTTATGCGAAATGTTTCCTGGGTTTTATGTCAATTGTTTTATGCGAAATGCTTTCTGGGTTTATGCAAATTTTTATCAATATCATAGTAGCAGTACAAATCAGCACTAAATTTAACGTACTACACTACATCTCCACCTAAATTAACTCGAAACCCCTCTTCTAGATCTATTATTTTCTTTATTCATCATGCTTGTTAGATTATTTTTTTAAGAGAGATTAAGCTATGCATATGAAACCCAACTAATTTTGAAGCTCAGTCAGATTGTTTCTATTCTGCCCTGCCCCATTTTATTTTCAAACAAGGCCGATCCGATTCCTCTCATTTTGGGGCCAGTCTGGCATGGGCCCAGCCCTACGCACAAACACAAATACTCTCGCTCGACCTCATCATTGGTTTGCTAATAAGTATTAGGTTGAAGATTTTATTTATTTATTTATTATTATTATTATTATTATTATTATTATTATTGATAAAAGGTAAATTTCATTAGCAATACATAACAAAGGCCCATAAACACAACTAATACAAACAAAAGATGGGCTTCCAAAACAATTAGACAACCAAACCCGAATGTTGAGCCCGAAAAAGAAAAGCACATAACACTGTACAGATCAAACCTTAGCTGCTTGGTTTCCTTGCCGCCGAAGCATGCCTCGACGACCATAAACCAGTTTCCCATCCAACGCCAGAAGTGAAACCCAACTAAGCCCCAACAGTAAAAAAAGAAGTCGTCGTCCTCAATCAAACTCCACAAATAACCTATCCTCCACCATCAATGGTAGAAAATCGGGGAGGAAGTAAGTGGAACTACTGACCACAGTGCCTAAATCGACACATAAGCGAAAGGTGGTGGTGTGAACACCCAACTGAAACTCTATGCAACTTCCTATAAAGCCGTTGAATATGGAGGAACAAGATGGAGGCAAATTGGATCGAAAGTGAAACTGAGTGAGGCCGAACCCAAGTGGGAGAGAAAGAATAGGAAAAGAGTGGACGCATAGAGGGGGAAAGGCAGTGGAGTGAAGAAGAAAAAGGGAGATTGGAAAAAGGAAAATTTTTGATCAGGGCAAGGAACAATTAAGGGCTCGGAAACAGAGAGGAAAAACCAGGAAAACAACAAAAGAAAAACCCAAGGAAAATGGGCTGCCACTGACCTAGGCCGAAGCTAAGGCCGGCGGCTCTACTGGAAATTGGATTTGGAAGTACTCACACACAGTAAGAAAAGCTTTCTCACTCAGAGAGAAAAGCTATTGTTGGTTTTTATATATTTTAGGCTCCATGTATTAGCCTTCAATATTTGGCTGTATAGACTCTATGTATGCCATGTCATCAAATTAACAGAAAATTTAAAGAATTTTGACGGGAAGTACTACATTGATGCGTAGTAGTGAAATTAAAGATGACATTAATCAATTTTCAAATTGAGGGATCAAATGAATAGGTTTCTAGTTTTTTTTGCCATCCTACTCAATAAATCATTAGGATTCATTTTCAATAGAATCTTATGCATTCACAGGTTCTACCGTTCCCACCACTTCTCGATTAGGTCAACTTCAGGGACCATTGTGATAAAAAAAAAATTATTTATTGATCATTTATGACTTTTAGGGTAATTTGGATGAGTGTGACGTCTATATACAAGAATCATGTAACGTGATTTGATTCGTATTACGCTATTGCCACGGTGGTGGGAGTGTTGGAAATGTGCCCTAAAACCAATCATATGATGATACTTACGGACATTTCAAACTAATGTAGTTTAAAGGGCAAACATTATTGTTTGAGCCGTCTCATATAAATGTTATATGCTTAAACGATAAGTCCAAGGAATATGTGATTGGAAGAATGCGATCTAAAGAAGTTAGATTCATGAGACCATTCTTTCGTTGACACATCCTAAACGTTCCTGATCATAGGATTGTCAATTGGGCATTGACAGTCCGTTAAGATCAGTACGTGCTATGTCTTCTCTCAGGGAGAGTGACTAGTCTCGAGTCATTGGTGTGTGTGACATCAAGACAAGTACGTAGGTGCTCAATAGAGAATGAGTTCACTGAACACGATCAACGAAGAGTTCTCATATTCATGTCACATGAGAACTCATGGTTGGGATAATGCAAATTAGTCTTTTGACCTGAGGCATCACAGTTGTCTTGTGGTTAGGTCCTTAATCTTTGATTATGTCAACGTCACTCTATCAGGGTGTCCACGGCATCGTTGGGGTTAAGCCACTTAGCCATGGAGGCAAGTGAATGCGCAACAAGGGATCTCTAACCTTCAAACTGTTTGAGGGAGAATACTCTATGATATGATTTGGAATCTCTGGCCAGAGTATGAATGAAATGTTGGAATGCGTTCCAGATCACATTCAAGGTAATCATATAAGCACAAGATTCACATTGGATAGTAGACATGAATAAACTATCAAACCAAACAATGTGGTCAAGAGTATTGTATTAGAGAAAGACCGTATTGCATTTGTAATCCTAAACTGAATAGGTTCTCCACCTCTTCTGATTAGCTTGGGTAACCATGATATGCTGCTAGGTGTCACTCATGGTTTGTGGAAGCCCTAAAAGTGTATTATCACTAACGGGAGAATTGAAAGTAAGTTTCAATTCACAATCGATTTGAAAGAGTTTGAATCGCCCACTGCCTCGCTAAAAGGAACCTAATGGATCGTACACCGTGTAAGGTAGAGTTTGAAGATTCAACGGAGATGAGTAAGAATAATTAAATGGTTTAATTATTTATCTAAGGCTAGGATTAATTAATATGTTAATTAATCAAACGAATAAGTTCGTTAAAGACCTCGGGTTAGTTTTGGGCCGCAAGGCCCAATGGGATTTGAATGTCAAGCCCATTAACTCAAGTTGTATGACAACTTGAATAAAACAAAGGGCTTGAAAGCCCAATAAACCTATAGGCTAGCCATGTGTAAAAGAATAGGGCTTTTGGTCCATTAGGTCACTTATTTGAAGGGACTATATAAAGGACTTTATAGCCTAAAATTTACTAAGGGTTATTTTTGGGGGAAAGGATGAGAACACAAGCTCTCCTTTCTCTCTAAAATTTTGGCCAATCTAGAGGGGAAAATCTAGCAATCTTACTTCCTCTAGGTCACTCATTTCTTCTTCAATATACCTTGGTGTGGAGACTTAGAGGTTCTCAATTTTGGGAACTTGGAGAAACCTTTTCATCCATCCAAATCCATGGATCCAAGATGCAAGGAATGAAGGCCCTCTCTTTGGGTGATTAGCCTTTGCTTATGCAAAGAGGAATCTACAAAGGTATTGATTTCTCAACTCACTTTGTTTTGAGTTGAGTCTTGGTTCACCTATCTACTAGGCTTTGAATTTCATGGGTAAATGTTTTGTTTTAAGTGCATACAAGCATGATTCCGCCTTTAATTGTTAATTGCATGCTATTGATGTTGCTTAAATGAACATGTTTTTCACAAATTTTCCTTCAAGTGGTATCAAGAGCCTAAGTCTAGTAGTTGGTGAATCCTTTTGGGTTTTGTAATTCATAGTTTGTGATTTGAATGTTGTAATTGTTACAAGCTTTATTCTTGCTTCTTTGAATGTAAATTTTGTTAGAAAATTTGCCATCTCAAATGTTGTAGATGTAGTTCATATGAGCATGAATTTTGGAGCTAAAATTTGGTGCCATGTTTTTGGGGAAATTCGGCCAAATCCAAAGGGTGGAATTTTGGGTTCTTGTTTGACTTGTTAAAAGTGTTTTAAAGTGACTTTTGGAACCCCTATGTACCCTAGTATGGTTGTATGTTATTTCCCTTAAGTTTGAGTGGTTTTGGTATGTTTTTGGGTGAAGAATGTTCATGGAGCTCTTATGGGTTTTCATGAATGTTCTTCATTGTTCTTGATATGTTCTTGCCAAGAACAAAAGGTTTGGTGTTTTGATTCAAAGTTTTGATTTATTTCATAAAGTTTTTGTTTTGAAATATTTCTTATGTTTAAATATATTAGATATTTATTTTGAAAAATTAAAGAAATTTTAGTGGGTTGGTGTGTAATGATTTATTCCATTACACACACCCTACTTACAAAAACTTTGAAATTTTTTTTTATTACTTTGCTTCAAAATCAGCCACCCTACTCAATTAGGGTCCTTGTGGGGCTTTCATGCAATTATATAAAGTTTTGATACTTTTGTGTATTTGCATTTTGACCCAAAAGTTTACGTTTTTACGTAAAGGTCCAAAATCACTAAAAGGACAAATTGTTTTGCTCCTTTAATGAAGTTTTATTTTTTTGTGGAAATTTTGGGTTCTAGTTGTAATTACATGAAGTAGTGGACTTTTGTGTTTTTACAAAGTGACCCCAAAAGTTTAAGTTTTTGCAAAATAGCCCAAAAGTTGAGGTTAATTGCACTATGGCCCAAACAAGTTGAGGTCATAGCATTTTGGCCCAAATTAGGTAGAGAACAAAATTG